TATGTAGATATACACGCACACAAGCAAATCGCTTCTCAACCATTGCACAAATACAACGGTATACAAAATATTGTAGCATTTCATGCAATTGTCCATGCCTTCTTCGTGTTCTGCACGGCTTGGGCCGCCTAAAATTATACCACATAAAATTTAATCATATTTTGTTGACTCGGCCCTTTCGGTGTTTGCGTTTGTTTGTGTTGGTTCACCTTTTTGTTGGCCTGTATTACTCTTGCCCTCCCGTTGTACATTACGGTTAACCGCAGTTATTTTTACTGTTTGTATGCTTTTTTTAATATTTTTGTTTGGCCAATCCTTTTTACTACTTTCGTGTTTCCATATTTGTTTGCGTTTAATCGGCTGCTTTTATCGTCACTTCGTCAGGGTGCAGCGTACATGTGTGACCTCATGCGCGTTTAAGCTTTTGACTTGTGTTTTCGTAAGAAAAAGCTGTACTTTTATTTGCCTTTAATGAAGCGATTTATTATATCGGATTTATAATTTACAGTTTTTTTAGTTTTACGAAGGATATTATCTGATGAGCTCTTGGATGGCTCATGGTTGTTTTTAGAATGTTTTCGCATAGATTTCTTGTTGGTAAAATATCATTGAACAGAAGAAATCTCATCAATAAAAATATTAGCTCATGTCTGTCGTCGCCTTAACATCTTAAATTTACTATGCAAAGGAGAACGAGATGAGGGATTATGTATCCCTATGGCCCAGGGTATTAAATCAATCTTATGTTCAGCGTCTTTCAAGAAGAAGAAGAAGAAGAAAAAAATGAGTTTATATTTTGTCTTTTTCTATTAACTTCTTTTAAAGCACAAATTAAACAAAATAAGTTTCGTTGTCATTCAAGTGCTCATAAAAAATACAAAAGGAAATTTGGATTTCCAAATGAGAAAAATATTAAATTTACCTTTATCATTCGCTTTTAAAAAACATCAGTTCGAAAGGAATAAAATATTTATAGTACTCCAGCCATTATCCTGCACAAATAGCTTAAGTGAAGCCAGGTCATTTTCATTATGTATTTTATTCTTTCGGTTTTTTTTCTCAAAGCTTCCACTGAAGCGACTTCATGAGCTTTTGCAAAAAAAAATGCCAAATTAGAGTAACTTCCTAATGTAGGTTGCTGTGAGCACCGTGATCATTTGATAATTTGCAGTCAATGGGAAATCTATACACATAGATAAAAGGCTTTGTTCTCAATGACTGACATATCAACTAACTAAACCACTAATCGTATAGCTAAGCAACTAAGAGGACGTGTTTGTGGTGTGATGTAGCCAACCGATCAAGAAGAATTTTCCGAGAAATAGACCAATCTGTTCAAAAAACTGATATTGATTTTTAAATTCGTGAATTTGCAGGAAATTTGGAGTAAAGGCAGCTCCTCACCTACATTTATGTGTGGAACTTTTTTCTGCCGGAAAGTAGAACTAGAACCAGGAATAATAAATAGGAGGAGATACAAACTGTCGAGTAGTTGCACAAAAAATTCCCTAAGGGTATTGTGATCAACGTTGACTCTGACATATGGAGCTTGGCCTTAGTATGCTTCGCAAGAGAGAGGGCTATGCTAGCCAGTCCTGGCATGAAGACCGAGGACGTAGCAAACAGAAAAGCGAGTCAGAGTAATACAGAGAGACGACTAAAGTACAAAAGCGATACAAGGCGTCGCTGGAAATAATCCAAATAGCCAATGCTGTTGTCGACTTGTCTTCTCATGAAGGAGTGATGGCCAAAGTAAATGCTGCAAGTAGAGTACAGTTTGGGCACTTCACTGCTGCTGGCCCGAATCACCTTGAGTTCAAGTGTAAGAGGATTCATGAAGAAAAGCAAGCCAAAGCGAAGCGTGATGGAGAAACCCATCCATAGCAAGGGTTAAAAAATTTGGCCCTCAGCAAAAATTCTAAGCCAAGTGAGTAGGCAACTAGATCGCATCCATCGTTCGAGTAACAATATATTATATATTCCTCAAGATGAATAATTGGAGTCACTTTTCAACAAATTTGTTCGATTAATTTCACTTAATATAAAGAAACTCTATTCAAAAAATTCATTTGAGGGCGTAAGTGAATGGTAATTTTGTATTGCATGAATTCCTGAACTTCCAGGGCTATCAATAGCTCCTCTTGACCTATCAGTAGAGTTTCAGTGATATATAAAATCTAACCAAGGGTCCATGAAAACACCACAGTAAGTGGAATCTTCAACTTTACGTAGATAATTTACGGATTTAATAAACTCAAATTAAAGGGAATTCATTGACAAATAAAATTAAATCTCTTATCTTAAATAAATCACTTCCATTTTTTCCTTCACCCCACAAAACACGAAAAAAGCTCTTAAATATGTAATTTAGTTTTCCATTAAATATTTCTTACTAAACGTGAATCAACAATTCCACTCCTGTTTGCTCACTTTTCCTTTTTTGCTATTCACCGCCAGTTTTTCCAAGCTCCCATATATATATATATATATTTATATATGTAATTATCATCAATTATTCTTACATTTAATTTGTATTTTACACAACGATGTGGCTTTTCATTTCAAGAATTATATAATAATAGTACTGCATAAGGCCTCGAGTAACTACACTCTTGGCTATAATTAACATTAAGAGCTTTAGATAAGATTAGATGAGGTAGTTAGTTGGGTCTGTTACATAGGCGAATGCAAATAATTACATGCAAAACACACACACACACACACATATGCACAACGAAATTGTTAAAGATTTACAAATATGTGCCTACACGTACATACACACATACATTCATATGGAAATATGTAAATTAGTAAACGCTGTGAACGCAACTTGTTTGCTGAAGAGCATCTCCTCAACGTGTAGTGTAGTGTAGTGAGTGCCTGAAAGTATGCATTCATTCTACGTCTTCGTCGTGGTTGTTTGTAAGCGAAGCTTATTAAATGCTGGCAAGTTTTTTTTGTTTTGTATTTTTGCTATGCCGCCGTTTTGTCATTTCCACGGCGCGGTCTACATGTGCGGTTTCACGTCGCATACATTTTCAGATTCACAGCATTTACACTCAAACACACACAATGATGTATGCGAGTATATAATCAAACGTAAGTGAGTGTGAGTGAGTGAGTTAGTGAGTGAGCAAGAAAGTGCGCTCGAGCCCTTTATGAAGCCTGTCTATTCAAATGAATGCTTTCACCGCATTCACTAACAGCCATATGAGGATGGGCATTTATTTTATGTATTTATGTGCATGTGCATGTGTGCACGTTAGTGTGTGTGTGGTTATTTGAAAGGCGCAACTATCTAAACACTGTTGATTCTATAGAATTTCATTTCGTTCCTACTTCTACTCCTGCTTTTGCAGCTTAAATGCGGAAGCGTTGGTTTGCTTTTCTTCTACTTTGCTTCCAGGAAAAATTATCTTCACATATGCATGTGTGTGAGTGTGTGAGTGTGTGTCTTTATGCGCCTTTGCATATGCAATAAATTGTTGTAAATTAATTTATTCAACTTCTAAATGAATTGCTTTTCTGCGGCCGACTTCTGTTGCTGTTGTTGCAGACAGAAAATATACTTACGCACACATGCATATGTTGATGCTTTCACATAAAAGAGCATAGCACAGGCGATATAATAAATATGCAAATTGACACACGTCCTCATACGTCCGGTGAGTGTATGTATGTGTGGCGTAATAAAATCTAAAGTTTTGCGTGCGTGTTAAAGCAGCTGTTGCTGTTAAGCATAAAATCGAGTGAGTGAGGTATACTTTAATTGCCAATATTATTTTCTCACTTTATTCTAACTGAAATATTTATATAGTTTCACGCACAATTTATTAATTTTTTAACTATATCCAAATTTGCAGCCATGCACTTGAGTGTGAATTTTGTGTTTATATTTAATATCAACTTCTGATGGCATTTTAATGAACAGTTGAAATTGATATGTCTCAAATTTAATTAAAATCTACAAAAGCCGATATCAGTTGGCATTTCAAATGTTGACATGTCCTAGTTGCTTGCATTGTATGTGAATGTGCATGTACACTTGTATATGAAGTGGCCGTGAGGCTGGAAGTGTCACTCAAAATGTCTCTAACATGCATATTGAATTACATTGTTAAGAGATAATGTCAGAAAAATGAGCTTCATTTCTATATAGTCTAGAAGTTTAAAAAAAAAAAATTAAAAAAAAAATAATGCGAAATTTCTCTTAATGTTAAAATTTAAAAGCTTTGAAGGTAGCTAGCTGTGTACAAAAAAATTAAGTTCTCCAAAAGCTACATAATTTTTTTCTAGAAGGAAACTACACAGTTCCTACATTTTAAAATATTAGGTTGTCAAATATCGCTTTTTTGTCTTTTGAATTTCGCGGCTATATATAAAGCGCTATCTGGCCACACTATACATAATTTGAAAGGTCTTGACATAGCCTATAAAGCAACACTATGCATGATTAGTTTGGATATTGCGTTCAACTGTTATAGACGTGTAAACATGGAGTTCACTAACGCCGAAATTCGCGCTATTTTAAAGTTTTCCTTCGTTAAAGGCAAATCCGCTAGAGAAACGTTCCGTGACTTCGCCCGCATATAATCTTAAGTCGGTTCTAATAACATTCTTCATAGGTTTTTTAGCCCAGGCAAGGACCGTGGGGTGTTCCAATTTCCAAGTAATCGAACCATAAATATGTGTCTTTCATATCAGAAGGGAGACTTCTTCACACATTGATACAAACAAATAGCTAGGAATCAAATCAATATAAAGCAAATCGCCCAACGAATGCGATTTTTTCCAATAAATCGGTCCCTCGTGTAATTCAAGTAAAAGAGGGGTCAGAAGTGGTCCCCTTTCAGGAAGAAAAGTATATCGGATGATAATTTAGGCAAAATACAATATTTTTATGGATTTTAGTATAATTCGATTCGAACAGATCCGTCTCAGGTCCTTTTCCGGGTAAATTCTTGCTTATGTTATAGTTTTATGTAGCACAATTTACTTACTTGTATTCAATTGAAATGAATTAATAAGTTATCCACAATACGGCTGGTATGAAGCTGCAATGAAAATTTAACAATAGTTTGATATAAAATTGTTTTACAAAAAAAGTTAATAAATCATATTGAAATTAGATGTTTATATTTTAATAAATTGGTTACTACTTGCTTTGAAGTGTCAAAGAAAAAATTCTTTAATGGTAACAATTTTACACTTTTTGTTGATTTAATTCTTTTATTCAAATATTTTATTAAAATAAAACGAAACATTTTGCTAAAGATATTGGAGATAATATGGTCTTAAAATCTAGAAACATCGATTTAGTTTTTAGATTATTTTGAAAAAACCTTTGAGACCTTAAATTACTTTCAATATTTTAAAAATAATTATTATATATACATATATAAATACGCAATATTGCGCTTTATAATAACAAGAGTCATCGAAAATGGAATCAAACCTCAGATTGCCACACATGCATACACACAAGCACGCAAAGTTATGTTTATGACATTAATGTTTCAACGCCACTTTCACCGCGAAACAACCGCACCGAAGTGCCCATTTCCACCAGCCGCCATTCACTACTTTCCTACCCAATTCATAAATAGAATAATATTTGTTGGCATTGTTGCCCTTTTTCCCTCTAATCCCCCTAATCCCTTAACTACTGTGCCCATTTGCGCTCTTGGTAATTGCCCTAACACTTTTCCCAACAATTTTCGCAGAGAGTTGATTTCTCCTACTTTTGCTTCAGCCGCACTACTCCACTTTCTACTCCGCTGGGGCTTGCCCATTCAACGCGAAGTGTTCTTCTATGTAGTTAGTGTTGTTGCAATGACACGTCACAAGGGAGCGCAGTGAAGTGAGTGAGGCGTTGGGCAACAAATACAATAACAATAATTTGCTGCGTCTAAAACAATGGTCAATTGGTGGCGTTTCACCGCATTTACTCTTTTCTGCGTTAAGTTATTGTTGTTTTTGTTGTTGCTACTGCTATTACTGGTGGCCCCGTTATTCTATGTAACACTCACTTTGCTAAAGGAGCAACTACAATTGCGAAAATATCACACAGCTTTTGTCGCCAATTTTTCCATATTTCTGTCTAACTATTTTCTCCTTGCCATTCGCCTGATCCGGCTTCTAATGGATTTTTTCGCAGTGCAAAAGGAAAGAGGACAGTAAAATGAAACAGAGAAAATAAAACAAAAAGCAAAGTAATGACTAGCGTTGGCGACAAAAATGAATTTATTGTTTTCATCGTCGCGCAATTTCCAGTCTCGCTTTGCTGCTGCTGCTCCTTCTCCCGCACTCTCTCTCTCTTTCTCTCTTTTGCTGACTTGAAAGTGATGTCACCTTTGCCAAGGGCGTACAAGTGGTCAGTAACACGACGAACTGTAAAATGCCCAAGTGTCATGAGCGGAAAGGGGAGGAGGCGAAACGGATTTACATCAGAGAATTGCATGCGAAAGCGAAAATCCTTGGAAAGAAATGAAATGGGCTAAATAAAAAATAGGAAAAACTGTTAATCAATATTCTGTTAATTGAGGGCCTTTAGTAGTTCAATTTTCTCTTTTAAGGCCGAACTTTTTCTTCGTTCTTCACAGGTGTTGTTGTTGTTGTAGCGGTTTGCTAACCCCGCTTAGGCACAGGTTTGATCAGTCTAAGTCGCCGAGGTCATCTAATGGTAGGTCCAGGAAACGAGCTGTTTCGACGCGGTTAGACCAGAGGGAGAGGGGGGTTACATGAGTTGGTTTGAGAGGGCATTTGAAGATGTGGTTAGTGTCATGCAGAGACTCTCCACATGAAGGACATACGTTGGGCATGCTGGGGTCTAATTTGGAAAGGTAGGAGTTTAACCTGTTACAATATCCAGACCTAAGTTGTGTCAGGGTCACGCGGGTCTCTCGAGGCAGCTCGAGCTCGTTGTCTGCTATAGGTGGTGGTTTTTTTCCGAGTACGCCATTAACTGGAAGGGAATCCTTAACACGTTATAGTTGCTGGTTAATAATGAATTGAATAATACAACAACAGATTCTATGGGAGTTGTTGGCGCAGTGGTAGGCCCTCGCCTGTTAAGTCTGGATCGGTTCCGTTTTTGGAAATTTTTTCAACAAAGTATTCTTAAATATGTTTCTCAAATGCCTTCTATTAGATAAAGATAAGGGGTGATCCATCCCAAGGTTCTCTGCTTTTATTTTTAATGAAAAACACAGAAAATTCAAATTTAATGGATAATGTTTATTATCATTCAAAAGGACATTCTTTGGCATTTATTTTTTTTAAGTGTTCCCTCAACAAATCTATTGATTGATGCGATGTGTGCGAAGTGACGCCGTCTTGAGCCAGAAATGGCTGTCATCGCTAAACAAAATTTGGCTCTAAAACGTCGGATCTTCTTCCCCACGGTCTTCGTGTAAACTCTCAGCTACGGCCGCTTTATTTTCTCCTCTACGTGCTGGACGTGGTCTATTAGGCCGAATATTATCTAATATATGAATGCAGGGTCCCAAGATGGATGGTGGTGTTGCAAATAATACCCTCAGTAGGCCGATTAGGTGGAACATAAGTTTAGCGAAGAACGTGAAGTTTCGTAATAAAGTCGAACGATTTGTAAACGCTTACGACTGGTCTTTCCCCATGAAACGCCAGGCAATACTGAACAAAAAAAAAAACATGACAGCTCAAGTGTGATTCTTTAAAAAAGGCTTCTGAAAAAAGCACTTCTACGTGGATTATCTGTTACATATATGATATAACGTAACACTCGACTAACATATTTACATAAACTGTATTTCCAAACATATTGCAACTCTATCAAACTTTAGCAGAACATTCTTGCGGTTTTCACTAGTTTAGAATTCTACAGGCTGCAGAGTCGCATATATTTACATAAACTTACATAAACTATTTTATAAATACAAAATTAATATCCCATGCTGTATGCTTGAGCCAATATTTGAGCCAATTTCGCGGTATTCTCACTCCAGAGTCCTCTTTTCAATATTCTCTCTTCATTTGAGTCACCCTGTATTGTCATTGACAACGCTCAGTCAGGCATAAACCGCAAAAACTTTTAATTAGTTTTGCATGCGAACAATTTGCCATGCAATTTGACTTTGCACAATAACTGCAACAATGCCAATAACAGATATACTACAACAAAACCAACAACAACGACGGTATGTGGAAACAAACAAAATAATAACAACAAAAAGGAGAGCGCCTCTAAAAGTAACTCAAAACAATGGAGGCGCCAATAAAGCAAAACAAAAACTGCAAACAACGATGAAGATAACAGTTTTGTTCCCTATTGGCGTTGTTGTCGTTGTTGTTGCTCCTATTGCCATTGCTGCTGTTGTGTTTATAATTTCCATTGGAAAGTTTCGCCTTGCACTGCGGTTATTCCACAACACAAATTTTGCACACAAACTGAGGCACAGTGGTCAACAACAATGCCGCATGCAACGGGAAATTTTACAATAGTTGGCAACGCTTTAACCACCGAGTGCCAGCGGCAAGCGGTCAGCAGAAGTGAAGGACAAAAGTGAAGTAACGCATAGAAAAATGTTAGAACAGACGGATGGAGGGGGGCAGGCAAAGGTGTTTTGAAATTCAGTTTGGCTGAAAGTCAAGCGCGAATTGGCAGGCGAAAGCTCGAAAGGTGGAGGTGGGGGAATAAATATATAAATTGTTGCCGCCACGCCAATCGAGTGTAGATGCCACATAACAATCAAAACACATATATGCACACACACACACACACATGCACAAAAAAAGTTTTAGAAACACATTGCATGTTTTCATACATGTAAATATGTATGCACTTCTGTATGTTTGCCTTCATTTGTTCTTTTGCTTTTTCGATCTAGGTTATTGGTACAGGAAGGTGAGTCCGCCAACAAGAGGAAAACAGCAAAATTTCTAAACGCTGTGGAACTCAATAGAGCGGCGAGGCGCAATCGATTGTGGCTACTGAAAATCGCTTCAATTTGACTAGGAATATTCATTTGCCAGTATGTAACTTACATAAATGCATACATACGTACATATTTACCTGCAGGTATCAATTTCAAAAAGTTGGAATGCATAAATTTTCTGCAATGCAAACACGAATATTATTGCTTTCCTTCTATTAAACCACCGGAAGGGATTTTTATTTGCAAGTGAAATGGATTCATGATTCCGCTTTTTATTTCATTCACCATTTGGTATTTGCTATGTAAATTTATTCAAATTCATTCATATATAGATATTTATTTGCACGTCTCTTCTTTATTAGCAAAAACATTTTGCAGAAAAAGCGAAAGTTCAAATAACAAAAATACGAGAAAAAAAACACCCACCAGCGGCGTTTTTTAATAAAGCGAAATTTCGAAATTAAAGCTTAAAGTGTGTCGACAATAGAAAACGTGTTGAGTTTTGGCCGCTTTTGGCATTTTGACAAATTTCATCTTTACCAATATGAATCAGCAGCATCTGTGTCGGCTGTCAGGTGAGAGTGTTGTTGTTGACACTTTTCATTTCGGGCATTGGCAGTCATAACGGTGAACTAAGAAATGCTTTGTTGAAGTTTTTTTTGGAGAAATCGCCTAAAAATGATTGTTATTGCCTCTGTTTTCGTGCGCGGGTGATTTCTTTAATTTTTTATTTTTAGATGAATTCATTGTTCAGGTTTTCTGTTTATTGATTACTTAAAGATAATACAAGTCTCTTTTTGTGTTTCGCCATATGCAGTCTAGTGTCTGATTTAACGAAAACACTTTTCTCATCAGGCCATTGATTTTTTTCTTTATTTCATATTTGCCTCTGAAAAGCCTTTTAAATTCTATTTTAGGTGCTTAGCGTTAGCATTCCATTGAAGCGACTTTGAAATCACATGATCAGTCTTAGTTTTATGTGAATGATAAATGAAAAAATTCTTGTCCGAACAACATTTCTCTAAATTATCGTCTCTATATTTTAATTTGCAAGGAGCTAAAGGTTAGCATGGTTAAGAAGTCTTCTTGGGTTTTACAGCATGAGCGACGAGTCGCTCGACGGAAAACCACTGTTTTAT